ATTGTAAAATAGTTTTTTTATATGTTGCACACCGGGTGAAAAGTCAGTCGTGTAACATCGACGGTCGCTCCTGTAACACAAATTATCGAGAAAAAAATTGGAGGTAAATTCCGAACTATTTCGAAAGACAGTTTTCATACTAAGTTATAAAATGCCGCATTTTATGTGTAAGGCATAAATTTTGGGTGCAAAATATTCACATAGTTAAGAAAAAATATATGCGAATAAAAGTACATAATTTACTTTTGTTGCATGCATAATTGATAGTTTATTGCCGCATAAAATCACCGTCCCTACATACATATAAACACTTTTGTATCCCTTCTTTCTTTATAGTCATCGCTATCTGATTAATAATATTGAACGATATGGATGAACCTGGGGAATTTGATGGTCTGTAAAAATTGATATGTAATAAATCGTTTTTATTAATATGCTTCTATGATGTTACAAGAATATACTGTATTATTTGAAATAACGTTATTCTGAGTTCAGACTGTAACTCAAAATAATGCCCATACTTGCTATTTCAAGATTTATGAAAACTGAAAATTATATTTGGGGCCCTTACGCAGCAATAGGAGGCAGGGATATGTTTTTTTTTTATGTAAAAATTTATATTTATCAATTTAAATCTTCAGAAGTCAACAATATCTACTTGTTTATAATACAGTATAAACAAGCAAAATTTTTTGTATTTTTAAAACTTAAATTGATATAAAATTATTGTAAAATTTTTATACAAAATTAAGCCAGCCTACTGCCTCGTTTTGCTGCAGGGTTCCTATATACAAAACCTTAAAAAAAATTTGGCAAAAACACCATAGACGCATTTTATAATAACTTAATGAAAGTAAATAATATTTAAACTTAAATTTTTTCATAGGAATACCATTAATCACCAGAATGTAAGTTCTATTACATGTATTTATTTATTAGAAAGTAAATAATATTTAAACTTAAATTTTTTCATAGGAATACCATTAATCACCAGAATGTAAGTTCTATTACATGTATTTATTTATTAGAAATTAAATAACAATCTTTCCAGATCGTGTACTTTGTTTGTATTTATTAAATTTATATATTAAATATTATTTATTAAATAATATTTTAAACTATTACTTTAATTACCAGAAAGTAAGTTTAATTACGTTTATTCATTTGTTAAATCAAAATTTAAATATTAAATATTATTTATCAAATAATCGTTTATATTAACTATCAGAAAGTAAGTCCGAATAGTATATATTCATCTGTTAAATCAGAATTTAAATTTAAAATATCAATTATTATTTATTAAATAATATTTTAATCGATTGTATTAACTACTAGGCGGTGAGTTCGAATACATATATTCATTTGTTAAATCAGAATTTAAATATCAATTTTAAATAATATTTTAATCGATTATATTAACTACTTGGGAGTAAGTTTGAATATGTATATTCATTTGGTAAATCAGAATTTAATTATCAATTATTAAATAATATTTTAATCGATTGTATTAACCAACAGAATGTAAGTTCGAATATGTATATTCATTTGTTAAATCAGAATTTGAATATTAATTATTTTATTCGATTGTATTAACCAACAGAAAGTAAGTTCGAATATGTATATTCATTCGTTAAATAAAAATTTGAATATTAATTATTAAATAATATTTTAATCGATTGTATTAACCAACAGAAAGTAAGTTCGAATACGTATATTCATTTGTTAAATCAGAATTTAAATATCAATTATTAAATAATATTTTAATCGATTGTATTAACCAACAGAAAGTAAGTTCGAATACGTATATTCATTTGTTAAATCAGAATTTAAATATCAATTATTAAATAATATTTTAATCGATTGTATTAATTACTAGGGAGTAAGTTCGAATACATATATTCATTTGTTAAATCAGAATTTAAATATCAATTATTAAATAATATTTTAATCGATTATATTAACTACTAGGGAGTAAGTTCGAATACGTATATTCATTTGTTAAATTAGAATTTGAATATTAATTATTAAATAATATTTTAATCGATTATGTTAACTGCCAGATTGTAAGTATATGTTAATTTGTTAAATCAAAATTTAAATATCAATTATTAAATAATATTTTAATTGATTATATTAACTACTAGGGAGTAAGTTCGAATACGTATATTCATTTATTAAATCAGAATTTAAATATCAATTATTAAATAATATTTTAATCGATATATTTACTATCAGGGAGTAAGTTCGAATACATACGCATATGAGTGCTGCCAAGTGAAACCATACAATCGGGGTTTTCGATTATATTTTATGTACAGTTTGCCGTCTACGGATTATGACGATATATTTTTCATAAATGACTAACTGTACACAAAATATAATTGAAAGCCGATTGTAGAGTTTCCTTGGCAGCATTATTTGTTAAATTCAAACTCCGTTATTATTGCTAAATAATTTTTTGAACTAAATATCGATAGTGTGATATCACAGATTAAATCTGTTATTAAAAAATACAAAGCTGAAATTAATCGTCAAAACCAAAATGGTAAAACAGCTTTGCATTGGGCTGCAAAAATCGGTTATATATTTATTGTTGAAATTTTGACGAAAAACAAAGCTCAGGTTGATATTGGTGATAATAATGGTGATACGCCATTATTTTATGCAGTAAAAGCAGGTCATAAAAAGATTATTAATATTTTGATAGATCATCAAGCTAATGTTAATCATATTAATAATAACGGTGAAATAGCTTTACACAAAGCTGCATATCATGGTCATGAAGAAATTGTTCAAATTTTGCTTTAAAAAAATGCCGATATTAAGGCTTTTAGTAAAAAGGGCTGGACAAGTTTACACTTTGCTGCTGCTGAAGGACATGTAAAGGTGATTGAAATTTTGCTAGAACATAATAGTAATATTAATACTACTAGTGAATATAGCAAAACAGCATTATTTTGTGCTGCAGAAAATAAGCACACAGAAACAGTCAAATATTTACTGGAAGCAGAAGCTAGAAACGATAAAGATTTACTGGAAGTAGAAGCTAGAAACGATAAAGATTTTAATGAACAGTATTTCAGTCATATTTATTTTGCTGCTAAGAAAGAATATGAAAATGTTGTTATTAGAAAAAACTTATGACATAAAATTACATTATACTGCACAAAAAGAAGATATTGAAGCTGTTAAATTTTTATTAAAAGTTGGAGCAACCCATTTTATTACTGACAAAAATGGCAGAACACCATTACATTGGGCTGCATTTGAAGGTTATGAAGAAATGGTAAAGAATTTAGTAGAAAAAAACATTAATTTAGTTGAAATTACAGATAAAAATAAAGAGACAGCATTTTATGAAGCAGTATGGAATGGACATATAAAGATAGTAGAATTTTTATATAAGCAAGGCGCAAAAGTCAATTGTGAAAATATAAATGGCTGGAAACCATTACATATAGCTGCAATTTCTTGCCAAGTTGAGGTTTTTAAGTTTTTAAAAAATAAAGTAGATTTTCAATTGAGCAAATTTTTTGAAAAGTTAGATATTTTTCAATTAAATAATTATTCCAAATTTGAAGAATTTTATAATCACTATTGTAATTTTACAAAAGAGCTAATTGGGAGATTCAAAAATTTTGAAAAACAATTTAACCTAAAAGACAACCATGATGTTGCTCTTTATTTTTACCAGCTTTTTTTAAAACTTATCGAAGAATATGTAGTAAAATTTAGTGACAAGCAAGATAAGAAAGTGCTTAGCTATCTGTATACATGTGCTCTTAGCAAGATTTTCAATCTCAAATCCGAATCAAAATCTGATTTAATAATTGATATAAATGGATATTTTGAAAAGGTTCAAAATGATATTAAATTATTCAAAGTAGCAAACAAACAAACAGAAATAAAAAAATTTAATGACAAATATGAAAAGACAATTCAGCAAAAAATTGAAGAGGCCTATAGCATTAAAGATTGAATCATGCGTGAAATGAATGAAATTATCAATGAAATAGATAATAAAATAATTTCATTGATTGAGGAAACAAGAGAATTAATCAAAAAGGTTAAAGAAAATAAACAAACATTAGAAGAAAAGCAAAGCAAGTTAAAGAAAAAATTGGTATTAAGACAAACCTTAGAAATTTTAAAAATTGTAGGCCAAACAATAAGTGTTGTTGGTGGTCCTATTGGAATTGCTGGTGACGTAATAAAAGGAGGAATTAATATAGCGGAAGCATTTATTTCAGAAGATAATAAAAGTGAATCAAATTTTGATATTTCTCCAGATATAAAAGATTCCTTAAAAAATATGGAAGAAATAGTTAAATCTGAAGAAAATGAGATAAATTTTGCAGAACAACAATTAAAAAAACTATCTTACGAATGTAATAAATATACATACTTGTCTAATATAAAAGTAAATTTAACTACGATTCAAAACAAATTAAGTAATGTTAATTTTACAAAACAATAGTAAAAGAAATTAAAGATGAATTAGTACAAACACAGACAAAATTAGAAGAGTTAAAAAAAAGAATGAAAACGCTACTACTGATCAAAAAACAAATGTAGAATTAAGGGTAATACAGGACCTTAATATTGCAATTGAAACTACTGAAAGAGTGATGAATTTATATGACAAATATCAAAAAGATAAAGAAAAACTTGATGCATTAAGTAATTCGATAAAGCAAGCAGATGAAGATATTAAAAAATTAAAGCAGTATGAAGAAAATATTAATAAAGCTATTGTTTTTATGATTAATAAAATGCAAGATGATATCAATAATATAGAAAATAAAATCAATAACAAATCTCATGTTTTTCTTGATCTAACTAAATAGAAAGTGAAAACTTCATTAGAAAGTATTAGAAATAAAATTCAGAAATCTCTAAAGGATTCAATATACAAGAAGATACAATTCATTATATAGAAAAGTTGGATGAAGGAATAACTACTCTTATTAATATATATGGCCATATACAAGACTATTATGATCAAGCAAATCTTGCTAGTTATATTGCGCATATTAATTTTGCAACTAATGAAGAAGATACTGCTATCAAATTAGAAAAAGAGATAAGAGCCAATATTCTAATAGGGTATTTTAAAAGAGCTAAAAGTGTATTCAAGCAATGGGCATTTCCATTAGCACATGTGTTTTTTTGAATTTACTATCAGATTATTAAGACATTGATAACAATGAAAACATCATTAATAGTATAATATCGGAGATAAAAATATTGTATTCAGAAATTCAAGAGCGCAAAGTAGCTATTAATAAAGAAGATGCAGATTTTGTAACGACTGAATTTAGGCGTGAATATGGATACCCAAACCCATTTTTTGTATGGGAAAACAAAATATATAGTCAAGAAATATCTAAGTTGCTAAGTGGAGAAGAAATTACTATAAAGGCAAAAATAACAAAAAGTGATCATGATGATAAAAATGCAATCAAGTTTAATGAGATAGGTATCAAGTTTAAATCAATGAATGAAACAATACAAAATGAAATTGACCATGAGCTTAAACAATTTTGTGTTAATATGGTTTATTCAGGCAACTCATATTATCGATATAACAATAAGTTTTACGTGATAACAAGCAATAAACAAGAAATTTATTATAGTTTTGGAAAAAATGATAACAGAGAACCAATTACAAAAAATGATGCATATATTAAAATTATTAAGGGAGAACCAATGCTTAGCCCTTATACTATGTGGAAAATAAAGCTTGAACCTACTAACAAAGCTGATTTTAGTAAATTAAATAGATATGAAAAAGAAGTAGACTTGGAGTTAGTAGGACATGGAAAATATATAAGAAATAGAAAAGATAGCAATGATAATCTCATGGTGGAAGACTACTATAAAGAATATAAAATCGATCTTTTTTAAAATAATTTACAGAAATAACAATTCTTTGCAATATTTAAAATATTTAAATATATACAATATTAAGTAGCGTATTACTATACTAGGGGTAAATGTCAATTAACTTATATTAAATAGCGTATTACTGTATCAGGGGTAAATGTTAATAACTTATTACAAATTTAAAAAAATTGTAGTACTGTATTCTTATTCATTATTGGTTTATTAATATTTATTTAGTATTTATCCACACTATATGTTTTTTATTTGTTTTTTATATTATATATATATTATTTGTTTTTTTTAATATTATTATATATTTTAAAGATTTTTTCCTTAGTTAAGGGTTTTTTTATCTCAATTATATATAATAATATATTTGTTTATTTATATATATAAACGTTTTTATAATTTATAAACATTGTTTATACTAGTTGACCGGATTAAATAGATAAATAAACAGTGATGTAATTGTCTTTTAGATGCATGGATTAAAATGTGTTGGAAATGTGCCAGGATTTAAAATTTGATTAGCAAAAGTATTTTAAACTGATCAAACGTACTCGTCATTAAGATAAATAAGATACAGAAATATAGTTCATTACATCAAAGAAAAAATTTTAAATATTATATGATATGTATAAAAATATTCAATGAGTTTATCATTACGGTCAACCACAATCTTTTTTTTTTTTTGCACTGGCTTATCAAACTTTATAACTATTAAAGTAAATAGAATTATTGTTCAAGCAGCTTCGTACTTTTTGGTATTGAACATTTGTTATTGCACTAACGTATTACTATTATTATTATTTTTTTACTATTAAAAAGCTCATCAATGATTCTTTTCAATGACATTATTTTATTATCCTTAACAAATTGTATAACAAACGGAAGCAATAAAGGTAATAGAAGTAACCGAGTATTTGCAAAATTTTTAATGACATTTAATAAAATCAATGATAGCTATTTAAGCATTGATTGAGGTCTTTATTTTGATCGATCGTAGCAATTGAGCGTAACAAATCACAATAATGGGGTGTTTCAGAATTAATGATCAGATATCTGATTTTAATGACAAATTTGTTTCAAAATAAGTGATCTACGATATAAGCACTATTTTTTAAAATATAAACTAGGCGCATGAGTTGTTTAAAGGGAGTTAGAATAGAGTACAGTAAACCTCTGTATAGACGCATTTAATATAATCACACCTCTATATAGGCACATTTAATATAATCACACCTCTATATAAGCATTTAATTTTGTTAAATAAGCTACTATAAATACTGTTAAACCTCCCTTCCTATAGTCACGCCTCGGTTCCAAGAAATTCTGTGCTTGCAGTATAAGAAATTGTGTCTGTGAGTGTGTAACTATATGGAGAGTGTCTATATGGGGGGCAGACTGTTACTACTATTCAAAAGACATCGAGCTAATAGTGCCAGATATCGAATGGCTTTAACATAAATGAATGTGCAGCATATATTAATAGGATCGTGCGTTGATTAAGAAGATTCAGGTGCGAATCTTGCTTCTTGTAGACTGTAATACATTTATTTTTATCGTTATGCTTGTTTCTGAAATAGGTTACGATTAGTATGTAATTAGATCAAGTTCTAAATTAAGCAGCTAATTAATTATACTTACTGTATAATCGCGAAATAACGTTATTTTATAAATCAGGTGCTTCAAAAATAACTTATATGGTCTTAAATTAGCAATCATGAGCGTCTCGAATTAACGCTCATCCTAATATAACATAATTTATAGCTGTGATAAATATTCTATAAGTCCATCTCACATACACTTTCCCTTTAATGGTAGTGCTCATAATTTGATCAGTCTAATATAATTATTTAATGTTATATGTAGATTTATTCTTCATGAATAAACGAGCAACTGCGCGACATTACCAGGAACAAATGTATTATAAGCCTGATTTAGAAAATGTTAACCAACTCCAATATAGAATACTTATATATAGTTTTAAATTCAGATAGATAAAATACCGAGTATACAACTAAATACAGCATAACTATATTGATATGAGACACTACAATTTAAATAAATATTTGAAGATTTTTAGATGTACAGTCATCCCCCATACAATCACCTCCTATATAATCACAAACTCTATATAATCACATAATTTTATACAGGCATTTTTTTTAAGAATTATTCGAAAATGCATCTATGGTGGTTTAGCACCTATGTATAATTTCTTTTAATAAAATTTAGAGTTAGGGTTAGGAAGTTAAGAATTTTTTTTTTTTATAATATTTTATAGAGCTACTATAAGGGCCTGATAGGGCCCAATTTCAGTTTTTGTAAGGGTTTTGGGGGTCCTGAACATTTTTACTTAGAGGACCTGATCCCATTTACTTAGTACATTTTCAAGAAATGGGGCCTATGGTGAAAACACCATAGGTGCGTTTTAGTAAAAGTCTTTTTTTAATATTAAAAATACCTTTATATAATCACAATTATAGTACTATCACTATCACATTTTTTAAAAAAGTTTTT